GGAACGGATTAACCGGATTTACATTGAACCCTATGGGAAACTTTACCTCAACTTGAGACCAGCTCGAGTTGCAACCAGAGTCACGGAACGGATTAGGTTCGTATCCCGAGGTACCACTGTATATCAATCAATCAGTCAATCACAGTTGGAACAAAGGTGCAAGCCTGAGCTGGTGAACAGTGTTGCTGAAGATCTTCCCATCTCTTCTATTAACAAGACAAGAGCAGAGCAAGGCATTTTCTTTCTACTACATTTGAGTCTTCCTGGAAAATAAAGCAGGGGAGGGGTTTCTATAAATGTATATTTCAGTTTCCCTGCTTTATCATATTAGGGAGTAAAGCATGGGAATTGATCATGAATGATCAATCATACTCAGATAAGCTTGTATTTGGGAATGCGAACATCACAGTTTCCAGACAGAAGAAAAAAAAGTTCATAGAATAATACGCCCAAGAGGGCAGCTTGTTTTCTGCTCATTGTGCATTGCATGCATTCATAGGCATTCTCCTTGGTTCACCTTTTTTCCTGTTTCAGTTGATTTGTTTATTTATTGGGTTTATATAGCTGCCCATCTCACATACGGGATTCTAGGCAGCTTACAATAAAATACATACAATACGTAAAATACAGAATATAAAAAATAAAACACACAGCAGCTGGGCATCATCCATAATTTCTTCTAACCCCTCTTCCCATCCAGCATCCTCTTCCTCCGAGTTCTAGTGGGGAGAGGATTAGGAAGGTAAGGGAGATGTATTCTCTTAACTGCATGTTATTAAGCACCCCCATGTGTGATAAGCCAGTCTCTCAGCACAGAAGACCTTTTGGGTAACCTGTCTATAAGAGGAGAAGACACCAGAGATTTACGCTGAAAATGCTGTGCCAGTGGTTCTGATACTGTTGGAGCTAAGAATACAAGCAGAGCCTGTTTCTAAGCATACTCCTATTTTCCAGGACAGTTTTTGCCTCAGCATTTTTAAAGCTATTTTGGAATACCCTTTTGTCTGAATTTTCAGTCAAAAGCATTGTCCTACATGGTGCTGCTTGCAGATCCCAGGATGTGATCTATTATATTTTGCCCTGGTTAGACTGCACTTGGAATATTCTGTCCAGTTCTGGGCATCGAACTTTGAAAGGGATAAGGACAAACTAGAACAGGTCCAGAGAAGAGCTACCAAGGGTTCTCAAAACCAAGCCCTCTGAGGAATGGTTAAAAGAACTGGACTTAATATAGTGCTCTACCACTATCTAAAAGGCTGTCAGCTGCAAGAGGTTGCTCCGGACCTGTTCACTGAAATTAAGAATCTGACAAAGGCCAATGGGTTCAGATTAAATGAAAGGAGATTCAGACTGAATATCAGGAAGAATTTCCTGCTGGTAAGAGCTGTTGAAGAGTGGAACAAAGCAACCAGAACAACGGTTCGCAGACTAGCATAACGCCTGTGAGGAGTTGTTGGGGTTCACTGGGTACTTCAGGACCTCTGGGACTCAAATGTTTGCACAATCAACTTTCTCTTCCTCCCCTGCCCCACTTTATTGTTGAATAAACTATCATTTCACAGTCTTACCGCCTTCCGAACGTTTAGGCTATATCCAAATGTGAGCTGAGCCTGTGAAGGGCAATTAAAATTCAAGTGATTTATTGGTACAGAATTGGAGTATATTGAATATTTCAACCTTAAGCATCATTCTATGGACTTCTTAAAAAATATAGGCAGATATTGGACCAGGATTTGAGTGTTGGAGTGTCCCAAATCCTTATTGAAAGGCATAAGTTGAGAGGTCTAACTGTACTGCAGTCTAGCTCATGCTACCGCTTTAAATGCACTGTCTCTTTCAGGTATGCCAAGCTTTCAGCAAAATACCCAGAATCAAATACTGCTGGAATGGACATCTTTGCTAAATTTTCAGCATTTATCAAGAATTCCAGACCTGAAGCAAATGAAGGTATGAAATCCATACTATGTTTTTGAGTGTTATGTAGCGTTAGGGCTGTGTGCTCTAACTAAACATAGTGATGAAGGAAGCTTTTTCTTTATAAGCATAGGCTAATTCTTCCCCTGTCCCAAGCAAGCAGGTTTCTTTAAAACGGTTTTCCCCAACTGAGCGATATCCAGATATATTGGACTTCAACTCCCCTAGCCAACACCAGGCTAACTACATATTACACAGAAGTATGTGATGAACCCTACTGGCCTCTATTGCAGCTGTGTCAGGAGCAGGAAAGTGGGTCGCACGGGTGAAATATTCCTTGCTCTGCCTCACCCGGTCTGCTCACTTCTCCTTCGATGCATGTTTGCAACCGTGCAAGGAGAAAGTGCCTGAGATAAGGTCCATCTGGCAGCAGAGAGTAAGCTGGGGCGGAAACAAGCTTTGCCATTCTAACTTCTACTTTAAACGGGCCTCTCCTAAAATAGCAACAGCAATACAGTGACTTCTCAAGGCCCTGCCAATACTTGGGTTTTGCACAACTTCTTAATGTGGGCTTTCCCCCAGATTCAGCTAGTAGATCCCCAAGAGACAGCATTTGTGCAGTGCTGAGCGGCCTGTGGCTTGCCATTTTTTCTGTTGTTGAGTGGGCTGATGGAGCTCATTTGCTTCTTGCCGAGAGTCCTCTGCCTTCATTCATCTGGAAAATAGGTTCTGTTTCTCGGAGCTGACTGTAGCTCTTCCCTCTGTCTCCCTTCATGTGCCAGAAATGTGCTGGTTCTGTGTAAGAACACAGGAGTTGGAGATTGTTACACACCATAAAGGGCTGTTCAAGACAAACAGTCATAACATTACTCAAGCTGCTAAAAAAGGATTTGAACTCGTTCTGTTTGCTCAGACAGTCTGCTTTCCCTAAACAGCCATTCTGATGCTGTGGCATGCTGAGATTAGTGATATTATCAGGACAGATATTTCCAACCATCTATGTTCAACAGCATCGGCTTTTTGGATTGCCTCCATAGTTCACAGCTTTCTTTTTGGTTTTCACTTGCCCTATTCGTGTAGCATTTCACAAAAGCTTCTTCCACAATATATTTGCATGTTTTAAAATGTTGCAAGCCTTTGATATGGGCATTGTCTACAATGGTTTATTGATCTTAAGCTTTACACTAAACTTAGGGACATGACACTTTATAGTTAAAGATAAATCTACACTCGACTTTGGCAAAATAAATAAATGTCTATTTAGCCTTCCCAAAACGAAGTTGGAATGTCAACTGTGCGACAGGTGAGGAG